AGTTTGAGTAGCTAGTAGCTTGCTTCCTTACTTATATAGTTATATATAAGTAGGTGCCTAACTAATTAAGGGTGTGCTCCAGCATTTCCATGTTCCTTGCCCAGATATCAAGCTGTATTCATCCGCTGAAGGCTATGAGGCGGTCACCCACGAGCTCACCGGTGAAGAGCACCAGCTTTGGGACCGCTTTGCGGGTGGCACGGCGACTGCGCCGTCTATTGGGTGGGCGCTTGACAGGGGTTGGTGCACGTAGGTGGACTGACATACTTCCAGCAGTTTGATTCTCTCCATTGCACTTGCTAGGAGACTGATGTATGAATGTACATATTGGTAGCTCAGCTCTGCATACCAGCAGATACCCAACTTGTGCTACTCTTCGCGGGAATGACCTTGGGGTAGAGTGGGCACTTGATGTGGTGGGCTCAGCCTTTATTTGGTGAAACAGGACAAAGCCACGATGTTGCTTCGACTTGTAAACACCTGTGCATGCTTTCTACATCCAGCTGTCGACACTTCCAACATCTGCAGGATGTCTTTGTGAGCATTGATTACAGCCTGGCTGGTTCTTTGACCGTCAGTGTTGAAACTGCAGGCTTGCTGTGGTCGGGTGGCCCCGCGAGGAACCTCTATGAAAAACCAAGTAGCTTCACAGGATCTCAAAGGCTCTTAAGAAAAAAACCGTTTTAGCTGATTTGGTAGGAATTAGACGAGTTTCTTATGGTGTAAACTCAAGAGCACAAGCGGCTTGCGGCTAGCGTCCTTTGGACAGAACAGAACAACGGCAGGTGGGTCGTGTGCTTGCTAAATTGTGCTGTAGCAAGATTATTCATGATTGGGAAGGGTATCAAGTTGCACCTCAATCTGCCCGCGCAGATGAAATCTGCAATGCCTTGGCTGCGGTCTCTACCAGAGCTCATGCGGAGGTGCAGGGTAGTTCAACAGCAAAAGCGCAGGGGCGCGTTGCGACTTGTGGTTTGCCCCCGAAGAATCATGCTAAGTAGAACCGGAACTGTTTGTGATGGCTGGTTCACCTTCACAGCTCATATATATTCCTTGAGAATCAAAGGGGTTTGCTACAGCCGGGACGAATGTACGGGTATTTGCATACAGTGTAGATTTTCTCCAACTACCTCGGATGCAGGCAGTCCCTTGTAACTGATTCCAATGTTCCCCATGCCTAGAGCTGTTTGGGGCAGTCTTTGCGCAGTCCCCAGCCTTTTGTTGCTTGTAGTAAGCTTCTTGTTACTAGTAGCTTCTTGCTACTAGTAGCGATGCCAGGTGCCCCTAGTAGCGTCCGATCGCTCCTAGGCTTGTGTAAAGGCCTTGGCCGAGCGAGTGGACGAGAGCGGGGAGTGCGACTTCGCCGACCTGCCGCCTGACAGACGAGAGCGAGCCAAGCGACGCGAGTTGCCGCGAGTTCCATACGGTTGGCACGGGCAACGGCGGTGAAGTCAGAGGAAGTTGAGTTATACTTGTTCAGAAAGCAAGCCCCTTGGATTGAAAAACTGCTCGATTCGGTGCCAGATCAAACTGCGCGATGAACTCACCTGACAGATGACAAATCTGGGAACCAACGGATGTCTTGATCTGGAGTTGAGTGCTTTTCCGGTTGAAATCGATGCGAGGTTGTCAGGGTCCCATCATGAAATCAGTGGTGTTGTCGGCTGATAAGGCGTTTTTATGCAAATTTATGCACGTTTCAGAGTCAGGGCTGTCGTAGTCGTAGTGGCGGAGATGAGACAATCCCTGAATGGAATTGTAAATATAGTAGCTTCTTGTTACTAGTAGTAATGCCAGGAGCTATAGTAGCGCCCTTGCTCCTAGTAGCGATGCCCTTTGCTACTAGTAGCGATGCACCTTGTTACTAGAATCTAGAAGTTCTTCGCAGTATGGCAGGGAAATCCTGATTGGATTTAAGTCAGCGGGCAAGGTTGAACAACAAATGAAGTTTAGCTTGCATGGCCCATATCTTGCTGTGGTCAGCGTAAGTCTTTTGGACACTGCCCGAATGACCATTTGATCTCTTAGCCCCATAATTATGGTAACCGATGCCGCTTCGATCATAACCAAATGTCCCACTTGCAGAATGAAAGGAGGAACGAGATCCTTGGCAAGGAACCTTCTCTTTACAATTTCAGAGTCCAGCTCAGCTAGGCTCTCGTGCAAAACGACCCGACACACCCTCCTTCACTCCGACGGCTGGAGGCTCGACGTCTGGGAGACCGAGAAGCGGCCTGACCATCTCTGGCAGTTTCGCAGCTCCATCCGGACTGGCAGGGGGCTTGGAGGGCCTAGGAGTGGTTCGCTGAGGACTGATGTAGACTGCAAAGTATGCTGGCTTCGCTGAGTTAGATCTACCATCATGCAAGCAAATGGAAGGGAGGTTTGGAAGAGCCTTTCCACGTTTTGCATCACGAGCCACCTGCTGCAAAGATTCCTTGACTCTGGTGAGTCTGAAGTCAGGGTGCCTCGTTCAGCTCACGGCCTAGGTTTGTCCAATTTACTGGCAGGTGCACTTGCGCCAGCAGCAGCAGCTTGTTGTGGGGCGTCATGAAATGAACTGCCTTGGACAAGATTTCTTGTGTGGAACAGGTGGCAGTGGCTCAACAAGCTCTACTGACAGTGTCTAGAATCACCTAGCTTAGACCTCTAGAAGAAAGCATGGGACCTACCAACATTGGTTTCAGTCTTTGAAACTGTGGGGAAAAGGTGAGGTCGTCCAATAGGCAAAATCGGCGAAAGTTCCACCGTTGCCCACCAGATTTCAGGTCCAATCGGGAGTGACGGGGATGCCATCCGTCAATCGGATCCATTCTGGGGAGGTGCTGGTATCTCGGATCCGAGCCCGTCACGCATCCCAGAGCTCCGTGTTCGGCGGCCTGGTCGAGTGGAGCGGCTTGCTCCACCTAAAGACTATGGCCAGGGCGGACAAAGTGGGAATCCTTGACATTTTCAGTAGAAGATTTATATAGAAGGAAATTAAAAGAACATTCATGGGTTTTTTCTGTTTCAGGCATCTCTTTCCACCACTGACCACATGTCCCTTTAAGGCGCGCTGTGCTCGGCTGTCTGATCTTGGCTTGGCCGTTGCGGCTGCTGCCTACCAGCGGACCCTAGCAGGGAGCCACAAGACTTGACTCGGTTGCTGCTTGGGGGAGGCCGGATGAGGGTGGCACAAGCGGCACAGCAGCCCATACTTCGAACATTATCTTGAGTCTCCTTCGTGGTTTTTGCTGATCACGTGCGTTATTTTGTGGATAGTTTTGACCCGCTCGCATCTATCAGCCCAAAGATGAAGAGAACGGCCAGAACTGCCTTGGGTTGGAATTGTTTGCTCTTCTTTGGGGCCTTTTCACAGGTGCAATGTGGGAGATGGCCCAACAGAGCCTCATAGAGCAGCACTCGTCCTCATTACCCAACAGCTGCAGCTGACTAGCAATGGCCTCCAACCTAGTAGCTTCTTGCTCCTGGTAGTAAGGCCAGGAGCCCCTACGTAGTAGCGTCCTTGCTCCTAGTAGCGATGCCAGGAACCCCACTAGTAGCTTCTTGTTACTACTTTAGGTTCTGACCTGCAGCTGGCATTGCGAGCAGCGATTGACCAGCTTTCTGTCCAGCAAGGACTAACTGGTGGGGTCGTGGGGATGGTTGGTGGATCTGCGGGGACCTCAACTTTTTGCGACATATCCAAAAGTGGGAGCGCCAGATTTGAATCAAAAGTCTAAATCGATTTCAAGTTTTGGTGGTCTTGGGATAGGTGGTCGCATCCAGCTACGACGTGCCGCCCTGTAATTACTCTTTAAACGCTTCAAGTCAAGACAAACGACAAAGGTCTAAGTCGAACAGCAAAAAGTATCCAAAAGTCAAACATGAGAAGAAACCAGAAGCTTTAAACGTAGAAAAGTCGAAAAGTAAGACATGTATGTAGTATGCTAGTTTTTTTGTTTTGCAATGTTTTGCCCTATTCTCAAGAACGGGTATTTTTTGGCCTTTCATATTTTTTCCTTTTTTGGGGGTGTGCGATCTTTAGATCCAGGGTTTCAGGCCGAAATTGGAACAATGTCTTCACACAAGCTTGGTCAAGCGCTACCTTTTGACCTGCAGCACTGTCGCTCAAGAGCCACCTAATGTTTTCACGCAGAGATTAAGGCCCGAACCATCCTATGGTCCTATGGTCCTATGGTACTGGTGGACAAAGAAAATGAGATAGAACAAGCCTCCATCATTCAGAATCAAAAAAATCATAAGGTCATTAGAAAAGACAAACACTTCTGTGGACCCGTGACATGCCCGAGAGCAGCTTTGGTCAGGAGAGCAGCAGCTCTCGAAACGTCAAGGCACAGCTCCGAGTCTCGCGAGTCTTCGGAGCGCTTTTGTTTTTGTGAATGCCAAAGTAGTCGGAGTCCCAAGTAGGGCAGGGATTTGGAGGCCGTAGCCCAAAGGCCGGAGCTTCTCCAAGCTTCGAACAGGCACAACAGAGTGTTCTGATGCTGCGCAGATGGAGAGCTACTGTGCAAGACCAAGCATCTAATCTTCTAATCGCGGTGTTCCAGAAAGTGGTTGGCAAAAACACACATATATTGCAAACCACTATTTTTTCTGTTGAACAACTGAACTCCCAAAAAATCACGCTAGCTGTTGCTGTGGGACCTGTCCATGTCCAAAGAGGTCCTCCTGTCCGTACTGCGTGGGATTCACAGTGAGCTGGTTCCAACGGTTGGGCCCTCAGAGATGCACGGAGCCTGACATTCAGAAAGGTTTGCCGCCTCCACAAAGGAGGTTGAATCGACAATAGTCTTTATCATCCTGAAAAAGGTGTATTCATCTACCTACCTGCTTAACACAGTTATATAATGATATGTGGCTGGCCATAACTATAGTGGGTGATGGGCGGATGCTGTGGCCCAATGGCTGCCTTTCTGCCTGCCTGCCTGCCTTCCTTGCTTCCTGCCTTCTTTCCTTCCTTCCTTCAGTCAGCTCAGGAAAGGGTGCTTTGGGAGCTCATGGGCAAGCGAGAAAAGAACTTCGACGGATCGGTCATGAAGGAGGAGGCCAGAGTTTTGAAGAACCAAACTATGGAACTATGGAGACGAATGGGAGACTACTACTAGCGATGCACTTGTTCCTAGTAGCTTCCTGTTACTACTAGTAAGGCACCTGTTACTACTAGCGATGCACTTGTTCCTAGTAACAAAACAAAACAACAATTTCAGATCCCTGAGTTTTGAGACAAAATTGTATTGATCAGCAAAAGGATCGACAGAGGTGAAGGTAAAACCTGTGCATTGAAAGTAGCGATTGTAGGTTTACTTTATGCAAGAGGTTCTTTTCTTGGAAAGAGGCCGAACAATATTACATGTGCGTCCACTTGTGCACCTCACGGACAAGAAAAGTAATACTTGGCAATTCTGGGTGCTTCCATAGCGTTGGGCATTTGCTCAACAGTGCGAGGTCCTCGCTGCTTTAGAAGAACTCTTGAGCCTGGAGCTTTGCAGGGATGGTTGCTGGGCGGTCTCAGAGGTCGATATAAGATGCCATGCTACTAGTAACAAGCGCATCGCTACTAGTAACAGGGGCATTACTACTAGTAGCAAGAAGCTACTAGTAGCTATCTGCTTCTAAGAGTAATGCCCTTGTTACTAGTAGCCGAAGGTGATTGGTGATGCGAGAGTAGATGACTCACACTTGGACTGTGTATTGTGCTGTTTATCCAGGTCTCGGTGCTGTAGATGAGAATGTTGCAAGTCATCGCCTACCAGCATTCTGGTGAGCACCTACAGGACCTACATACATATCATGTCCCGTGATTCTGGAATTTCAACTGCTTAATTTACATGTAATGGGGGGCTTGGGGCTGAGGCACGTTTCTGTGCTTCTGACCTGTGACCGAAAGATTACCCAGGTTCTGCTGAATGGAGCAGTCTAAAGACTCACCTCCGAGGCTTTCACGAGGAAGACTCGCGTGCATCTCAAGGTGAGCTGGAGGAGATGGGTTGCCAGAGATTGTCCGGAAGCTTTCAGCTTCAACTGCTTGGAGGATGAACATGGTGAACGGTTTTCAACTTTTAATGTATCTCCACCCGGGCGTCGGTATAAACACTACGTAGAAAGAGAGGACCTGGAAATCCAAGTTTCTTCCTCCAGTGACTACGGGTAACCGGTACACCCCCCACCAGGAGCTGGATCGCCTTCGAAGGCAGTGCCAAAAGCGATCTTTGCAAAATCTTTTTGCTGACGGACGTCGAAGTGCAGCCGGGGGGTCCAGAGCACACTTTGGTTGTCAGGTTTTGTTCAATGTGTCCCTGGAGACATTTGGGGGGCCGAAAAAAGAGAGGGAATCGGAATCGGTATGGACATACATCCTCTCAACAGTCTTTTTCCTTTATGACACCTTGTGATGCATGTTTGCCAGTTAAATTCAGCACGATTACGATTCTAAAAGGCAAAAAGAAAGAGAGTACGTAAATCTTTCTCGAAACTGAGATTTCAAGCGTGACCTTCACGATTTTCTCCTCCTTGTTTTTGATCTCTGAGGTGGCCTTTGCTGATGTTCTTCGATGGTGGTGGGATATGCCCGAGGAGGGCTGGTTGCCGCAGCAGTTTCTGCTGCTGGTTCGTGGCCAAAATCAAGGGCAGACTTACAAGATGTGTGGTTTTGCAGAGTCATAGAGTTGTACCTCAAGAACATGTGGCACATGACACCATGCGACTAGGATCTCAATTCTTTCTTGTTTATTCTGCCATATTCACTGATGGCCGTTCCTTCTATCCAGGACACACTCTAGGTACCACATGTCCAATACTGCAAACCTGGGCAGCTTACAACAAAGCAACCGGGAGCATGGATGATAAAGGTTCAAAGGCACCTACTTACTGTATTACAATTACAGAATGATACATGGTCCTCCATGGTTTTGGATACATACTGTAGTGGGCTGAACCTTTGAATGAGCATAAGCCTCAGCGCCTCCGCTCCCTCGGTTGTGAGGAATATCGGGAAGCAGCAGGCCTTGCAGTTCCTGCCCACAGCTTAGAAAGTGAGTTGTTTTTCACCACAAGGATTGGAGTGACTACATACTTTCCTCATATGTTCCTTTCCTCACTGGGCATTTGGCACTGGGAGAGATGGGCTGGAAGGGTCACATGAGCCAAACCTTTGATTACTTTAGCATGGGAGCATCGTCCTTTCTAGAAGTAGAAGTTTCAAGAATCCTCTTGAGATTCTCCAAAAAAGCACAGAACGCACTTGACAATGAGATCTGAGATTCGAGCTTCCTGCTCTGAGATTCGAGATTCGAGTATATTCCCAACACCCATTTGGAGCATCTTCCGATTTGCAGCTCCGTACGATGCCGTCGGATCTGCCAGACTGGTCCCACCAAGGCCTCTGAGCTCCGACAGCGACTGCGGCGCCAACCCGAAGAGATGCCTGGGGACCTGGACCGATGCTGAGTGTTTCCAGCATCCGAGGTTGGAACTTGTCTGACCCTATCTTTGAGGAGCATTTGCTATGAATATCACGTTTTCTGTTTTCTATTTTCTTTGTCTCTTGTGCAGTAGTGAGTCTGAGTCGCTTGAATAGGTCAGGAGACAACCAGATGCAGTGATTGAAGACTTCCATAGTTTTTCACCCAGATCCATGGCAGTTTCCGAAGGGCCACTCGTGACGCTGTGAGGTTCAGGGGCCCCTTGCGCCGAGTAGCCTCTGAAGCATCATTTGCTCGACAGGCAGCAGATGGACGTGGCGAGTCATGGTTCAATCTCCAAACCGCCCAAAACGGAATTCGCATGTGCCAATTCGCTGGGTGCAGGCACTTCGGGGGCACGTGCGTGCCTTTGCAGAACTCAGGGCATTGGCTGTCAGGCGGGCAAAGTGGCACGCTAACCCAACAACAGGGCCATCAACCGTTGACCATAGTCATTTAATCCAGTCAAAGATTCGGAGAACCCAAAGGTGACCAAACAATCGCAGGCGCTGACAGCTTGAATGGTATGTGTTCTGGAATCTGGAAAAAGTTTGGTTCAACATGTTCAACAGTGGATTAGTTAAACTGCGTAGATTCTCTGGGTTGCTTTGCTGCCCTGGTGCACACCATTGGTGGCATGGCAGGAACTTGATGGAATCCGTTTCTGGTGCTTGCTAATGGGTGAGCTGTTTCCTCCTACCTCGCGGTCCAGGGTTGTATCTCCGTTTGTGCAGGCAAGGTGCCTGCATTTGGCCTAGCCTAGTTAGTTTGTTGGTTGGTTGGTTCGTTCGTTCTTTGTCAAGACACTCGTACTTCCACACACCTATGCACAGTACTTCACACTTCTTACTTTGGCTCAAGACGAGGAAAGAGGACTTCAGCTGCTCAGAGTGAACTTCAGGGTTGAGCCTGGTGAATACTTCAGGTTGTGACTTCTTGTTTGGTGAGTAACTGACACTTCTGGATTTTCGCATGGTAGCGGAGCCCTGCAACGACAGGGACTCCTAGGAACTTCAAGTACAGAACTTCTGCTGTTGAACATGGCTGAGATAGATGGAGACTTCGGTCGACTCAAGTTGCCACTTCCCCCACACTTCTCCGGTGAACCTCGTGACTGGGAAGAATGGGAGTGGAACTTCAGAACCTACATATCCATGTTCCAGCCAAATGTTTTGAACTTCCTAGACAGGGCTGCTACTTCAGACGCAGAGATCGTAGATGCACACTTCCAGACAGGAGAGACTAGTCACTTTCAGTAGGAAACTTCACTACCTTCTAGCAAACCTTAGTACAGGCTCAGCCCGACTTCTGGTTCGCCAGAATCAGGGCGGAAACGTCTTTGAAACTTGGAGGTTACTTCACCAGCGTTTCTCGTTGCCAGATGCCAGTAGACATGTGTCACTTCTTACAAAGATTCTTGATTGGAAGTTCAACACGCACACGTTTGAACAAGACTTCAACGCATGGGAAACAGTCAAGAACAAGTACGAGCAGCAGACAGGACAGCAACTTCCTGACAGCATCTTAGTAGCAACTTTGATGAACAAGACTTCAGGACCACTTCAGCAACATCTTCGGTTGAACGCTGGAAATATCAACACGTTTGATCAGGTCAAGCAACTTCTCGTGCAGTACTTCAGGTCAAGGCACATCCTCAACATCCCAGACACTTCGGGTCCAGTGGATGTAGGAGCAATCAAAGGTAAAGGAAAGAAAGGAAAAGGAAAAGGAAAGAACAACTTCAGCCATTGGTACTTCATGAAAGGCAAAGGTGGAAACAAAGGCAAAGGAAAAGGTAAGTACTTCAAAGGTTCCAAGGGCCAAGGAAAAGGAAAACAATGGCCCCAAACTTCGAACAAAGGAAAAGGTAAAGGAACAATCACAAACCCCGGTAGCTCTAACCGGTTGTTTGCTATACGTGTGGTAGGCCAGGACACACTTCTCGTGAGTTGATGACACTTCGGGAAATCAGAATGAGACTTCATGGAATAATAAATGGAGTGATGATTGGACTTCATGGGATGATCCTAGTTACTTCGGTGATTATGGTGATTCATGGGATGATTACTTCATCGGTAATGTAGGTCATGATGATTGGTGGACTTCTGATGACTGGACTTCATGGGATGACTGGTCTTGGGATCCGTCTTGGACTTCGTGGACTTGGAATGAAGCTGGTCAGTCCAGCACTGCTGGCACTTCGGTGCCACCAACTTTGCAGCAAGCGCAGACCAGAACTTCGGTTCAGGTTACACTGCGCCTGGAAACCAAGGTACTTCAGCTAAGGTTTCAGCAGTTTTGGCTGAGCCCCCAGGACTTCAAGAGAGTCAGATCTCAAGACAGAGTACTGGCACTTCTAGGAGTGCAGTCACTTCAATGATGTTGGCAGCAATTACGTTGAACACTTTTGGAGTAGGAACTTCTGTTCCTTTAGGTCCTGTTACCACTTCTGGTTCTGGTTACCCCCAACATCACAGAGAAAATGAGACCAACTTCCCAAGTTTGGAGAGTGTAGGCCTTGGTCACCTCTCACTTCCGGAATTTTCAGATTTCACGATGGATCAGCGCATGGTAATTGCGTCAAGTGTAGATATTTCTGGGGTTTTGTTTGACAGTGGAGCTGCTGCAAACTGCTGCCCCAAGAACTTCGCTCCTGAATGGCCGATTCTTCCTATCAATGGGTCGAAGCCACCACTTCGTAGCGTGACAGGTCAACCACTTCATGTTTATGGCAGGAAACTTGTTGGATTGAAAGCAGGCGATGTGGACTTCTTCTTGCACTTCTATGTCACTGACATTGATTATCCACTTGTTTCAGTAGGTAGACTTCTTGTTCAGGGTTACACAGTTGAACTGTCTGAACTTCATATGTGCATGAAATGTCCCAACGGGCAATCCATGCCACTTCACAGACATGGTTCACTTTTGTTCATGCAGCCGTCCATTCAACTATTTGAGAAGAACAACTTCGAAGCTGTTTGTGTCACTTTTCAAACCAAATACCAACACTTCTACTGAGAAAACCCCGGAAAATCTTGTTGCGCCGACTTCTAGTTCTTTCAAACCAATTTACTACCACCATGATCGTTAGTACTTCGACTCTAGTAGGCACACTTTAGTTCGATACCATCGTAGGCCAAGAAAGAACCTTTTTACCCCTGAGGGTACTTCAGACAGGCCGGTTGCACTTGAGAAACTTGCTTCACTTCGTAGGACTTTTGTCACGTATGAAGACAAAACTGAAGAAGTTGTCAAAGACAACAGGAGAACTTCAGATGATCCCAAGAGAGCCTTGAGCAAGTTCTGGAAAGGTAGGACGGAGTTCGTTTTGACTTCGCCAGTTCCTACACAGCGTGTGACAGGAAAGCAGTCGACACTTCCAGTGCCAAAGGTTGTATCAGCAGATCCTGTCATCACAAGCACTTCAGAGCAAAAGCCCAAGTTGAGCCTTGAGACTTCTGGTCCGAAGCAAGTCAGGTTTCGTGACTTGTCTTCAGACTTCTCGACTTCTTTGCAATCCAAACTCGCGCTGGCCGGTGACGATGTGTCTGAGGTGAGAAAAATACTTCAAGACTCAATGACTGAGCCGGATCCAGCGACAGGACTTCGTTTTCGCATGACTTCTGGGCGCATGGAGGTTCATGTTGGATTAGGTATCACTTCGAGCCGAGGACTCGCTTGTTCACTCCAACTGAGACCGACCTTGTTGGTGGCCCGGAACTTCACATGATTGGACCCGAGCGCATGACACTCATGATCGCAGAAGAGGATGGCACTTCTAAATGGTACAATGACAATCACTTCGGTGATCTTGACATGGGTGGACCTTGGACTGGCTTGACTCTTTTCAGCAAATCAGAGGAAGAGGTCTTTGATCCACTTCCTTCTGCAGATACTGAAGCAGACACTTCCGCAAGAGCTCCTAGGTCACTTCCCGTGCCAAAAGAGCCAACTGCGCAAGAGCGTGCTGAGCATGAACTTACCCATCTCCCTTTTCGGAGTTGGTGTACGATTTGTGTTGGGTCCAAGTCTCGACAGGGTCATTCGAAGAAACTTCGGCTGAAGCAGCCTGTACTTCAGGGCGATTACTCGTTCATCACTGATCCGGAGACAAAGGACCAAGTCACACTTCTCAACGTGCGAGATGTTTTTTCTGGACTTGCTTTGTCGTGCGTTGTCCCTTGTAAAGGTCATTCTGTCTACGCGGAAGGTGAACTTCGCAGGTTTGTTCTTGAAACTGGTCGCACTTTTGGAACGTTGCAAGCGGATCCTGAACCAGCACTTCTTACGGTTCTGCAAACCGTGACGTCTGAACTTGGCGGACTTTCACTTCGGAAATCTCCAACACAAGGAGCTGTAGGCAACGCCCAGCAACTTCTGTACGCTCAGGTTCGCGCACTTCGTCAGGACTTCGCGTCTAGGTACGGTTTCAAGCTTTCCGTCACTTCTCCGTTGTTTGCTTGGCTTGTGAAGCACGCGCATTTCCTTCTGAACAACTTCTCTGTTCGCTCTGATGGTTTAACGCCGTATGAGCGACGTTGGTCGCGGAGATACAATTCTGCACTTTGCAAGTTCGGTGAAATTGTCATGTGTAGACTTCCTGGCAAGCATTCAAAGGCGGAGCCTTCCTGGGTGCAAGCCATTTGGCTTGGTCGTGACGCTTCCGCTGACATGCACTTGATCGGCGCCACTTCGGGTGTGCTCAAAACCAGGAGCATTCGCCGACTTCCTGTGTCGGAACAAGTTGACCAACGTATGGCTGAGGACTTCAAGGCATCCGCCTGGGATCCAAAAGGTCGTGGTGAGGACACGGATGTTCTCATACTTCCTCCTCCGCTGACGCCTTCTCCTGTTGCGGACGCTCCATCCACTGCTTTTGAAACTTCTGCACCATCTCATGGAACCAAACGAACTTCGGAAGACATAGAGCTTGATGACGTAGATGAACCCACCAACTTGTTTCAGCGTGTCGGACCATCCACTTCCGACTTGAAGCGTTCAGCCCCCGACACAGTTCCAGGGAGCGGAACGAAACTTCAGCGGATTGGAGCTGTTCTTGAAGATGATGATTTACTTCCTGTTTCTTGCTTGACTGTTGCTTCTGTCACTACAAAGCATGGACTTGACGTTCCAATTGAGCCCAATGTTGATCGTGAAGAAGAACTTCAAGCACTTCGCGCAGCCGATCCCGTCTTGTGGTACGACACTGAGTTTGACCGCGAGCAGGAGATTGCAGGCATGAACAAGGAAATGACTTCCATCAAGAACTTCGAGGTGTATGAAGAGTTCTTGACTTCCGAATGTACTTCCGAGCAACTTCAGAATGCCATTTCAACAAAGTGGGTGAAACGGCCAAAAGGCGGCGAGGTCAAGTGCCGCGTGTGCGTTCGTGGATTCGATCAAGAGGTCGACCCCGACGACACTTACGCCAGCACGCCGTCCCTCATCACACGTCGCTTGTTGTTGACACTTGCCATTGCGTTTGACTGGTTTGTCATTGCAGGTGACGTTTCAACCGCCTTTTTGCATGCACTTCTCACTGATGAGGTGTTTGTAATTCCTCCGGCTGAATACTACCCGAACGGTGGCGTTTCGTGGAAACTTCGCAAAGCAATGTATGGCTTAAAGCAGAGTCCAAAAATGTGGCAACAGCACTTCGTTTCTGTTGCTTCTTCACTTGGATTCAAGCGACTGAAGTCGGATTCAAACTTGTACTTCCATGAGGCACGCAAGGTGTACATGTTGTGTTACGTTGATGACTTGCTTCTGTTCGGTCCGAAAGGATCCTGTGAGTATCTGTTCGCAGAACTTCAGAAGCAGTTGTGTTTGAGGGGTGTTCTTGAGTCAGGCAAAAGCATCAACTTCTTGGGTCGAAGCATCGCTCGACGCGATGATTCTATGGAGATGTCGATGCCGACTTCATACATCGACAAAATGCTTGAACAACTTGACATGACAAACTGTAAACCTGCTGCCACACCTGGTGTGGATTCACTTCGCAAGTTGATTGAGTCGGAAGAACTTCTTTCAAAGGACGAGCGCAAGTTGTATCGACGAATTGTTGGACAACTTCTGTGGCTCAGCAACATCCGACCAGACATTCAGTTTGCGACTAAGGAACTTTCCCGAGGACTTGTTGCTCCCACTAAGGACCACTTGGTGAAGATGAAGACACTCCTAAGGTATCTCGCTGGAACAAAGCCAGCGGTTTTGCAACTTCGTCCTAACATGATTCCGCACTCCAAGCAGACTTCATTTGACATCGATTGTTTTGTAGACTCAGATTGGGCCGGTTGCGTTGCAACTCGGCGCAGCACTTCAGGTATGGCATTGTACTTTCTTGGCGCCCTGATCACTTCGCAAAGCAGAACACAGCAAACAGTAGCTACTTCATCCGGCGAAGCAGAACTTTACGCAATAGGTCTAGGTGCGAGCGAAAGCCTGTTTATCCGTTCACTTCTTTTAGAATCACAAATCGCGCAAAAGGTCAACATCAGACTTCACACTGACAGCACCGCAGGCAAATCTATGGCAACACGTTTCGGAACTTCCAAGAAAACCAAACACGTTCAACTTCGGTTTTTGTTTACCCAAGAACTTGTAAATTCAGGCATCGTGGCAATCAAGAAAGTTGCTGGAACCTTGAACACTTCTGATGTGATGACAAAGTACATCACTAAGGAGGTACTTCACAGACACCTGTCAACCCTTGGGATCACACTTCCCATGGGTCGAGCACTGTGAAGACACTTCATGAACATGGATCGCCAGTTTGGCGCATAGTAACTTCTAGTGTTTTGCCTTAGGCACGCCAGGAGTACAGAACTTCGCACTTTGCGACTTTGCACTGGTACAGAACTTATAATTACTTCTTGCATGCGTGCATGTGTATAGCGCGTATTGTGTACATACTTCACACGTATAAGTGTCAGGTACTTCTGGTTGTGGTTTTGGTTGTTTTTTGTGTTTTGTTTTTGGCTTGGTTGTCGTTGTTGCTTTTCACTTCACTTAAGCTCCCCAATTAAGTTTTAATCACTTCTGAGTATGATAGTTGCGGTTCACTTCATCCCGGGTAGCTAGTTTGCCATGGTTAGTAACTTCGTTTTCCTGCAAGCCGTTCACTTCATGTGCTGAGAGCCGTCCGTTTTGCAACTTCAATTTCGATTCTGAGACTTCGATGCTGCTTTTGTTTCAATCATCCTGAAATGTTTTTCACTTCGTGGCCATGTCGCGACTGGACTTCGAACTGATTGCAATTCTGGTACTTCAAACCGGACGCCTTGATTGGCAAATTCTGGTACTTCAAACCGGACGCCTTGATTGGCAAATGTGGGCTTCCTCGACTTCATTTTTATTTGCTTTCTTTACTGCAGATGGCGGACCCTTACGTCATCGGACTTCAGGTTTGAAGAGTGGAGCACCAGTGAAACCATGCCACCTAAGATGGCAAAGGCACTTCCACGCATTCCACCACTTTCATGGCAGAACTTCCAGACACATGAGGAGGTTCAGCAGCAGCAGAGGCTTCAAGATCAACTTCAGGCGCAGCGTATGAACAGAGGGTTGGATTTCAGTTCGAGTTCTGATCTGCAAACTTCGGTGATGCCACCGTATGACAACCCTCACTTCATTCTGCAGTTGAATCCAGAGCATTTTCTGCATAGTTTTTGGAACAAGGTCCAGTTGACTTCACCTGGACTTCCACACAATGCTGCAACTTCGAAACAGGAGAGTCTGTTTCCAGGAGTCAGAAGTCATGATGACTTCTTGGGAGCTCAGGCTGTGATGACTTCCTCCATCTATACTCCTGAGGAACAACTTCTGCAAAATGGTGGATGAGTTTCCACTTCAGTGTCCTCAAGGCCCAGCTTCACTTCCTGCATGGACTTTGACTGGACACTTCTACATTCTTCTTGGCGTGCGTGACCTAGCTTTCATGGCCTCTTCAGGGCACTTTGTGGCTTTGACTTCTCTGGATGGAGCTAATTGTCCAGATGGAGAAAGTATGGCAAACCTGCATACTTCACCGCGCAGTGCGCTCCTCTTTCGGGGTTGGAGCGGGTGGATGGTACTTCAGGCTCACATGCATGCTGGTGGAACGGTTCAGTCACTTCCTTCGAGGTTTCATGATCCTGTGGTACTTCTATGTTTTCAGCTTGAGACTGATAGAGTGTGGAGAGAACTTCAGAACGGGGGACTTCGATTGTGGAACCGTCAGTACGTGGATTACTTCTTTCACATCACTGGAAGCTACAACTTCAGTGAGCTCGAAAAATCCACTATGCGCTGTTTCGGTTTGCCACGGTTTGGTTCTACGACTCTGGCTACTGCGCTCTTCTCTGTGTGTCCACAACATCAGTCACTTCACCCAAGGACTCATCGCTTCCGTTTCATGCACCTCTACCTTGGAAGAGGATGGAACGTCACCCTTGCACGAGAAGAAGACTGGTTAGTTGACCAACTTCTCGTGTTGAGGTCCAGAAGGGCAAAGTCGTTTTTCACTTCAGCCATTTTGGCAAGACAAGTTTTGCAAGACTTCAGAATTCATTTTCAGATCTCAACTTCTTTTGCTGCAATTTGTGATGATGACAACTTCATGCAGCTGACCTCAATGACGCTCAGCTTGGCATAGCTCACTGCCATCTTGCTCTAGCTTAATCCCTGGTACTTCGTACAGGCACGAATCACACTTCATAGTATGCAGGGTCTGAATTTAAGACTTCTTGATGAAGCATTTTCAACTTCAGGTGTGAACTGATGCAATGGTGCATCACTTCAAGGGAGCGTGTCAAGACACACGTACTTCCACACACCTATACACAGTACTTCACACTTCTTACTTTGGCTCAAGACGAGGAAAGAGGACTTCAGCTGCTCAGAGTGAACTTCAGGGTTGAGCCTGGTGAACACTTCAGGTTGTGACTTCTTGTTTGGTGAGTAACTGACACTTCTGGATTTTCGCATTCTTCGTTCGTTCGTGTACAGGAGACCCCTTACATTTGATCAGAACTACTACTCCTACTACCACCACTACTACTACTACTACCACCACTACTACCACCACTACTACCACTACCACTACCACTACCACTACCACTACCACTGCCACTGCCACTGCCACTGCCACTGCCACTGCCACTCCTACTACTACTACTACTACTACTACTACTAGTACTACTACGACTACTGCTACCACTACCACTCCTACCACTCCTACCACTCCTACCACTCCTACCACTCCTACCACTCCTACC